ACTGATCTTTCTCTTATCATCACCCAAAAATGACGAAAACATTCTAATATTTTTCAAACAATTAGTCATTAACTGATAATAGAGCCATTTTTTTAATTAAAACATACCATACACAAACAACAAATTGAACTTGATAATTATAGAAAACAAACTTGTTAAATGATTTTAAATGTACGAAAACAGTCCGCCTGTGTTTTCTGAAGTAATTTGTGGTGGTGTTTATTGTAAAAGAAATTGGATACGAGTGGAAATTTAACAGACCAGTGATTTAATACATAAATTTTCTGAATGAGTTGCTGTTTGGACCTCTGAGATTAGTTTGTAGTAAATTGAATGGGAGTGTAACTTCTGGGTCTGTGTTTCATCCTAATTTGTTAATTTAACTGCAGGAGTTTATTTTGTGATTTTCCCATAAAATCTAAAATGTAAGTTGTTGAAGAGTTCCTGTAAATGTTTAATTTCAACGTGTTCCCTGCAGGAAGGTTGCGAGACTGGTTCAGGATGCTAATGAAATAAACAGTTTTTATGCAATTAAATGTAACTTAAGTTGAAATTTCCTTCCATTGGAATGTGAAAAAAAGTTTTACATGTCACTGCTGTGGTTTCAGAAAATCTTACTTTAGTTGTAGGCAGGCATTCTTTGTAGACTATTTATAGTGCTGTATGAAGTCATTGATGTCGTATAAAATGACCATAAATAGAATCAATGTATGGAGTGGAGCTATCAGTCGGCATTGCGGTTTTCATGCCACCGCCACTATTGTTGCCGGTCAGTGCAGAAGAGAGCAAGGTTTGTTTTCAGTTTTTCATTCTCGTTGTTTGACAGTTTAAAGCTACTGTGTAATTTATGGAGGTACAAATTTCAGGGAAAATTTTGTTGCAGGCAAACTGCCACTGTCTTTATGATTCAAACTGATTTTTGCTAGATCATGTGAATTGAAAACAAATGTTATACATGCATCCAAATAATGGTCTGTGTGTACTCCTTGGTGAAATATGTACCGTATTTGCTCTGTTAGTAGCATTTGGTTTGCATGGGAGTTGCACTTCTAATAGAATAAATACAGTACATGGACACAATTTAATTTCAAAAGTTAAAGCAGGATTACTGCCCTCCATCCATAATCAGTTTTCTCGCAGAAAAAATAACATACTGTAAACACTTTAATTATTGCCTGGTTTTTAATTTTGGTATTTTCTTTGTTAAGTAAAATCCACTAAATTAAATTCATGTGATCACATAAAATAACAATAGAACTCATTGATTCACTACCAACTTCATAAACTTAGACCCAGTGAAATTATTCAAAGCATTACAATAGAGAAATTAAATGCCAGTGAAAATAAATGGTTTTACAGTAGCAGTTAAATTCACTGTACGTTAGATTATGCGTTAATCATCTACGTTGTATTTATTGTATCACCAACTTAATTAGCTAATTAGCTAATACACGTAGTATCATGTAACTGTCTTGATGTTAATTACTATTCTAGTTTCTATTAACATCACTTCATTTTCACTTTAACAGGACAGGACAATTAATTAATTAATAATATGTTTTTACCACTATAGTGATTTAAATTTCTGGGGGAAAACACTGGATGATTTGGCCTGCTAACTTTCTCTAACATAGCTGTCACCTTCTCACTCTGCCATTGAATGCAAGTCTGCTTTCACCGCGTGACATTGTGAATCTTGTTTGCGATGCTTTTCTGACTGTCAAACCATGATGACTCATTTGCATATGAATGGTGCCATTATTATATTAGGACAATATTATTATTACAATGGACATAATCAGTATTATCAATAACCATTTCTTTTTTTTGACATTTCAAGTATAACATTTCAATAGCTCAGTATGGTTAAACCTGTCATGCTGAAAGGCCTGTGTAGAGCTGTGGCTCAGAATCCCAGATGTTGACTTTTATTAATTAAAAAAAAAAGAAGAAATCTGCTGCACTGAACTTGTTTATTTGTTTCCTTCGTTGTGTGTCACCAAACCACCTACATTGTACAGAGTTGCTGGTATATTTACACTGTTAACACTGCGTTCCAATTTCATGTTTGAGTAAATAATGTTCATTCGTTAAAACCATGCATTTTACTGTATTTTGGCAATAATTTTCAACTGATTTTTTGGAGTAAATATCACTTTCAAGCAAAATGACTGAAAGCAAATAATTATTATAGTGGTATATTTATTAAATTTCAAGTTATTCTAAGTATGTCAGCATATTATATTAATACTTTCATCAACAATTGCAAGTCAAAGGTCATCCTCATTCTGTGCCAATAATTATTATTATATAATATCATAGCTTACTTAATATAATTTATTGACAAGGTCGGCTCTATTAAAAGTGCACACTCTTTAACCAATTGAACCCCTATTTTTTTTCTTCCTCGCAAATTTGAATGCAATAATTTTCACATTTTC